ACTTTGTCGATATCTTTTCGACGTATATTTAACGTCTATAGATGTGGAGGAAAGTCCTCTATTATGAGATGGCAGGTTTTCAACGTCCAAATTCAATCGCAAACCTTATTTCGCAACGATTACACGATCTAACGATGAACTTTCCACTGAACAGACCTCACTCTAGGGACAATAAATTCATGGTGGAACCAACAGACGATGCTTATTAATTTTGCGGAAACTCCGCTATCTCATATTAGGAGTCCACCTCATAATACTTTCCTCTGTACATATCAATTTGATGTACAGAAGACATCGTATCGGTGTCGACCAATTATTGATGATTTAGTTGATATACACTAGATATCATATTCATGCCAAGTCGAATAAACGGAGATGTTGATTCGACTTCAATATTATATCAATTGACATATGACTAGATTGCGGACGTCTGCAGAATATTTTTCGGATATCGTGACGAAGTGTCCTAAGTATCAACTTGATTGTTGATTTGCACATGATCTCAACTTGCTTTCAATACGATATTCGCCGGATTCTTCATCGACTCGTGAACCCGGGGTGTTGTTACGTTTGTCGTACGACAAACTGCTTAAGCGTGATGATCGGTTGCAGGATGGAAACTGTCTTGGGTGCACTCGGGGACTCTTCCACCCTGCGACAAATCGGCACGCTTGAAAACTCTGTCGCATGACAAATGTAATACCAGCGTTGGACTTGCAACGGGACAATTGCGACGATGATAATAATAAGAGGAAATGGTGGAATATGCCTCGCAAGCTCACCCTCTGTTTCCCCGTCGTATTGGTTGTCTCTCGCCGCGGCATATTCCCTTCCGGATCGTCGCTAACCGACGTCCGCGGTAACTTGCCGGGAAAGTTCTGCGAGGCGTTGATGACTTTTCGCCGGCGAACGCGCTTAAATTGCACACGCCCACTTTGCAACGTTACGCTATACTCGATGCAGGCGCGGCACTTAATCCCGTGCCTCATTTAACGATTAAACGCGACACGATTTACCTCCCGGTAATTGTATTTAGCAAATGATTCTCGCCTCATTAAAGATTAATCGCGATGGCAATCTATTTTCCTTTTACGCGGCGTAAAGTTGGCAACCTCGTAAAGTAATCTGCATGCACGATGAACTGTCTCGAAAAGTTTCCCGCGGAGGCTCCGCAAGTTTATCGGAGAACTATCCAGTCTTCGGCAAACATTTTACGATTTCATAATTTCTATAGCAGGTACACTTTCCTACGAGCACGAGGAAGCTTAATGAACCGCGCAGATGAGAACGTTTATTTAGTTAAAACGTAACGCGGCCTGAGAGAGAGGCGTTTCCAACTTTTTCGCCGGTATAATATGTACCTCCCCGAGAATTCCTCCGTTGCTCGTGCGTGAAATTTAATATCTCTCGCCAGGAATACCCATTTGTATTCCTCCTGCGGGGACCCTGGGGTTTTCAGCCGCGAACAACCCTCGCACGAATGGCCGCCAACGCTTTTGACCTCCGCGTGCCAAGCCGCGGCCTCATCAAATTAGGGGATTAATCAAACTGAATTGCATTATCATTTATTCAACAGGCTTGCATGCCAGCTGCGCGCCTGGCCTTAGAGGACGTTAATCGCCAAAAGAACCTGTTACGCGGATATAGACTGCACCTCCATTCCAACGACAGCGAGGTAGAGCTCACCAAGATGCTTTTAATGGCATTATAATGGCGGCCGATGCGCTCGTCGCCGCCGCCGCCGCCGCCGCCGTCGTCGCGATAAAATTACCTCTGTAAATTTATTACATTTCAGTGCGAGCCCGGCCTCGGCGCATCCGTCATGTACAACTTGCTATACTTTCCGCCCTATAAATTAATGCTGCTGGCCGGGTGCAGCACGGTATGCACCACGGTCGCCGAGGCGGCGAAGATGTGGAACCTGGTGGTGGTGAGTACCCACCCCGTTTCTTTCTTACCCCCGCCCGCGGCATCGCGTTCGCGCGAATCTCGTGTTTCATCGCGGCACGTTATCGCGGTATGTACAATAAGGGGATACGTGAACATGTGCGAAATCGCTTATCCTCAGCTCTGCTACGGTGCATCGTCGCCGGCGCTGTCCGACCGAAATCGATTCCCGACCCTGTTCAGGACGCATCCTTCCGCCACCGTGCACAACCCCACGAGAATCAAATTGCTGCAAAAGTTCGGTTGGTCTCGGGTGGCGATACTGCAGCAAGCCGAAGAAGTGTTCATATCGGTAAGGATATCTATGGCAAACGCGTACGTCACTCGCTTGCCTCTCAGGAAGTTGAGAAGGTAAAGTGGACGCTGTGTACGAAGCAGGTCACTCGACTTTTGTATAAACAAATCTAGGAAAATCTTATATCTTTATATATTGTCTACCTTGGAGAGCGGGCTGGCCGGATTAAAGTTTAACGTTCGTCCGTCGCATAACGAAATCGCCGTCCGCGGTAATAAATGCGACGGTAAATTTGATCCGTCGAATCTGTCGTAGACCGTCGAAGATCTGGAAGCGCGGTGTAAGGAAGCTGGGATAGAGATAGTCACTCGTCAAAGCTTCCTGTCGGACCCCACGGACGCGGTGAAGAATCTACGCCGTCAGGACGCGCGGATAATCGTCGGCCTGTTCTACGTCGTGGCCGCGAGACGGGTGCTGTGCGAGCTCTATCACCAGAAGCTGTACGGCCAGTCCTACGTGTGGTTCTTCATAGGCTGGTACGAGGACGACTGGTTCGAGATCAACCTGGAAAGGGAGGGCATCACCTGCACGAAGGAGCAGATGCGAATGGCCGCGGAGGGACATATGACCACCGAGGCGCTCATGTGGAATCAGAATAACGACACGACAATCAGCGGCATGACCGCCGAGGACTTCCGACAGAGATTGAACAAGCTGCTGAAGGACGACGGTTACGATATAGATAACAATCGATACCCGGAAGGATACCAGGAGGCGCCCCTCGCCTACGACGCCGTCTGGTCCGTCGCTCTGGGTGAGTCTCTCGCGTGCATACATGCGCGATGTGCCCAAGGCAAGCAATCCGGCCGATAATACATCGCCTATATCGATTCTTTCTTCTTTGTCTCTACCATCAGCGTTCAACAGAACCATGGAAAGGCTAAGCAAGTTGGGGAACAGTTTGAAGAACTTCACTTACGAAAACAAAGAGATCGCCGACGAGATATACGCGGCGGTAAACTCGACCCAGTTTCTCGGAGTTTCCGTATGTAGAGTCCGCAGCTGGAAAATCGCTCGGTCGCTCGCTTCAATTTCTAACGTTAAAATCTTTCTCCCGCAGGGCCGCGTCGCGTTCAGCTCGCAGGGCGACAGGATCGCTCTGACGCAGATCGAGCAGGTGATCGACGGGAAATACGTGAAATTAGGGTACTACGATACGCAGAGCGACAATTTGACGTGGCGAAACGTGGAGCGGTGGATCGGCGGCAAGGTGCCGCAGGACAGAACGATAATAAGAAACGTTTTGAGAACAGTGTCACTGCCCTTATTCATAAGTATGGCGACCTTGTCGGCGCTCGGTATCGTGATAGCCATCGGATTGATCGTATTTAACGTCTATAATAGGCACCGAAGGTATACCATACCCGCCATACTATATGTATATCGTGCTGCATTCGTTAATACGTTATCTAACATATATACCGCGGGCCAGGCCACAATTCACAATCGATATTATAGCTACACACAACCGATGTCTACTTTTCAGAGTTATATATTCGTCTCATCCCACCGCCAACACGATAATGTTGGTGGGAATAATAAGCTGCTTCTTGGCCGTGTTGTGCATAGGAATCGACGGTAGGTTCGTGACGCCGTGGCAGTTTCTGATAGTCTGCCAAACCAGGGCGTGGGCGATGTCGATCGGCTTCACCCTGGCGTTCGGTGCCATGTTTAGTAAAGTGTGGAGGGTCCATCGACTCTCTACCAAGGCAAAGGCCGATCAAGGAAAAGTAAGTCGTAAACTAACTACGGGCGAATCGAGTCTCCGCTCTGGTAAAGCGGTACGAATTGATCTCTATGATATTCGCGAGGCTTGATCGCGAGCTTCGTCGTACGAGATAGTTCTGCGTGCTTTCTTTTTTATCACTCCTCCTCCACCAGACGACTCTCCGGCGAAGACAATCGTACCGCTTTTCCCCTTGAGTTCCTCATTAGTAATGAGACTGATTTTTAGTTTTTCATGAAGATGGAACCATCCTGCATGGTTTGCTGTTCCCGCTCGTATGTCCCGCATCTTTAACCTATTCTCGATTCCTTTTAGTCATTGACGGCTAAACAAAAAGTTTCGTCTATACAGAAGAAGATTGAGCCGTGGAAGCTGTACGTTATGCTGGGCGGATTGCTGTCGGTGGATATCATCCTCCTCGTCACTTGGCAGGTGGTTGATCCGTTGCATCGGAGAATCGAGACCTTCGCCCTGGAACTACCTCCTTTCGGAGACGAGGACGCAATGATCAGACCCGGATTGGAACATTGCGAGAGCGAACACAATAGCTTGTGGCTCGGTGAGTGCAACCCTTGCGACGCGAAACGACACGCATGCCAGAAAATAAATACCATGCGTGCAAACTGTGATATAATTCTACAATCTACTCATTAGTAGATAAAATCGTCAGCAGGAAACGATTCACGGAAATTGTGAATACTTCCATTTTCTTTGTTTCAGGCTTGATCTACGGCTATAAAGGCATTGTTCTTGCTTTCGGGCTCTTCCTATCTTACGAGACGAGAAGCATCAAAATCAAACTGATCACTGATTCCAGATACGTGGGAATGTCGATATACAATATCGTAGTTCTATGTCTCATAACGGTACCTGTGGTAATGGTCATCTCCAGCCAGCAAGACGCGAGCTACGCCTTCTCGGCGCTAGCCACTATTTTTTGTTGCTTCCTCAGCATGGCCCTCATCTTCGTGCCGAAAGTCATCGAGGTAATCAGACATCCCCGAGACAAGTCCGAGTCGAGATACAATCCGGACGGCGCGGTGTCCAAGGAAGAGGAAGAGAAGTATCAGAAGCTGCTCGTCGAAAACGACGAGCTTCAGAAACTCATTGCCACGGTAAGGGTTCAATGTCGATGCGTTGCAAAAATAAAACTTACTTGTAACAAGTAGAGTGCTACACTAAAACCCAGCGATAGTATTAAGGTCGAATCAACGTCAATGGGGTCGAAACCGTGTTCCAATCGTCCGTATTCGAAAATAATTAACTTTTAGAACTTTATTAAATTACCACGTTCAACGTTCTGAATACTTTTAACATTTTATTTTAATTTGTACAAATCCGTTCTAAAACAGATGTTTTATCGATTAATTATCACATGTACTGTCGTGTACTCTTTAATTATTGTTGCATATTCTACCCTGTGTATTTCAGAAAGAAGAAAAGATTCAGACCCTCAAGCAGAAGCTGGCAGAACGCGACGCCCTGAAGGGGACCGGCATAAGTCGTTGCAGGCAGCCCAAGCAGTCCTTCATCGTCGCTGACTATCCGACCGGCGAGGGGACATCGGACAGTGCTATCGGTGGGGGTATTTCCATTTGTACAAAATCCTCTCGCGCTTCCGCTTCTGATGTTGAGTTTTCAGAGACGTACTTATAATCTCTCTCCACACACACACACGAGTAAAGTCAAGCCGCTACGGACGTCCTCGTGCATTAGCGCGATACATTTGGGACCTAAACAGTTGCTTTCAATCGATCTCGGTGATTATCGTTACGCTTCGCTTTTAAATCGAACGTATTTCCGGTATTATTTGTCGTAAGTATCGATGGGTACGTACTTGCGTGTTTCTTCACGACGCACGGATGCAATGTCTCGTTGAAGTGACCGGTGTAAAACGACTATCCACGGTAGCCTACACCGCCACGCGACGATGACACAGAATAGAATATCGAGTGGCAATATCTGCACGATTTGAAAGAATAATGGAAACTCGATCGCGATTTTAAGTTATTTAAGTAATGGCACGTATGCATTTACCTCACGCAATTTGCGCACGATAAATTATGTTACGTTATCTTCATTAATCGCAGACTCGGTGAATAGAAAAAGGTAATCTATTAATAGAAATTATGAAATTAACAAGTAAAATGTCATGTTAACGTGAATGTTAGCTCTTAAAATCGTTTAGCGAATTCTTTGAGTCGTTAATATAATTTCAATAGTTTGTCGCTTTAGTAAGAAAGTAATTTCGTAGCTTTAGTATACTAAACACTTAAATATGCAAATGGTATCGATTAATGCGTATACGTCGAGTAGTAATTTTTATCTTAGTAAACTAAACTACCTTTCTGCGAAATCAGGTAAAAACGAGAAACATACGAGGTCTGGCCTATGTTTCATGAAAGTTCTGCGAAAATTGGTCCTACCTTTCTGACGACAATGTGTTCTTCTTTCTATAATTATCTACTATTATCGATCAATTATTTATTGGTAGAACGACATGTGTATTTTTATATGTAGCCCGCGATTCCTACTAGCTGTTGTGTAGACACTCAGGAAGTTTGTGAAGTTAATCAGGTGCATTTTTCAGCGCCTGTGAGAAAGTACTCAACCGGGAATTTCCTTAGCGTAAAATACAATCTTATCCTACGGACCAAGTTACCCTCCTCCCCCCTGCCCCCCCGTGGAATAACGTTTTCAGGGATGGAGCTTTTGAGTGTTTTATATCTTGACTTTTAACTCCTTTTATCGAGGAGATATATACTCGAAGGAAAACATAACGAAGTCCTTTAAGCCGTTAAAAATGTTGTCGTCGGTTTCAGTCAGACATTTATATCTTGATATTTTTCGTAAAAAATATAACGAATTTCAGCAGAAAAAGGAAAAATTGTAGTAAAAAAAATTACAAGGTGGACGAAACGTGTTCGCTGAACGGTAAATTTTAACAGCGAAATATGTTATTGTCCCTTCGGTGCTTCTAACGAAAAACCGAGGGAACCAAAGTCACATTCTTATATACCGGGCGCGTAATTTTCAAACGGGCTATTTATCACATAAAAATATTTATCTTTCCAAACGAGATAATAAGAAAGAATAAAAAATATATTTTGAAACGCACAATATATATATATATATAATATAACATGTATATTTAAAATATTGAAAATAAAAGTGAATTATTCAACCGGTATAGATGCCGCGGCTACAATCGCAAATTGGATTTGACTGGCTCAGGATGATATTTGTAACATGCTTATCATTTGTTACAGAGCACGGTGCTTACACACGAAGCAATTCATAATGTTTACGTTAGGCCTAAAGTAATCTGTACAATCATATGACTCTGTTGTTGCAGTTAAATCTCGTTAGAAAAAAAAGAGTGTCGTGTTAATTGTGTATACAGTATTGTTACTGTTGTTGTGAACCTCATGAAGCGTACTCCCAAATTTGAAGAGGACAAGGAACCAAATTGCGATTTGGTCCAATCCGGATTAAGTGCAGTTGCCGAAAAATGCCCGAGCTGCCGCTAACGAGATTTAAGTGCTCACGAATTCCATGCCGTTCGTTTATAATTTGGGAGTCTTGATGAGGTGAAGTGTTGCATTACCGTTTTAGCGTTTAACGCACGGGTCGTTTAATTTTTGACGAACGTTTTTTGACGGAGCACCAGCCGCGCGTGTGGGGCTCGGTTTTCGGATACTTCGCGCGTAGGAGGATGTACGATTCTCCCGACTTCCAAATCATTTACGGACGGACTCGGCATCGGCAATTGTCCATCCGCGAGCTCGCGATACTTATGGTGTTTGACCTTCTGTTTTTTTTAGGCACGCAGCACATCGCCGAAATGTACGAACTGCACCGACTATGATGCCAAAGCAATACACACACAAACGAGCGCTACGCTTGCGACAAAACTCTCTTCTAAAACTAGTATTAAAATCTACGTGCACGGTCAATATGCGAGTCGTATAATACGCGAGTCTTGGTACGCGCCGAACGTGAGAATGACTCTCTCTCTCTCTCTCTGTAATGTCTGAGACATGATTTCGCGGTGACGGGAGGCCCGCCGTCGCGTGTACTTAAAGTGTAAGTTAGTTTATAGCGTGTGGAATTGTTTTATATGTTTCGACACGATTCGACTGCGCCTTAGAAAGTGGAAAGGGGAGCGGAAGGGAAGATGAAGAAGAAGAAGAAGATGCAGTATTGAGACATATGTACGTACGTCACGCGATTATATTACGGCTGTCTGTCGCGTGTTCTCTCTCAGGCACACAAACCGAAAGCAAATCTGTCGTCGTAAATCCCGTGTATAGGCAGTATTTAAAACGGAAGATGTAACATTTCTCATTTACGGTATCTTACCACCGCGCGCGCTCACCCACGCAGTATTTTTTACTGTACTCGTTTCGAACGACTGCCGCGCAAACGGCGCTTGTAAGTCTAGCATTATACATTATACGATAGTCCTATCGTACTGTTGACGAAAGTATCACATATATGTACGTTAGATTTATGGAGATATTTATTTTTAAGTTTTTGAATTATAAAATCCGTTAAAAAGTCGAAGGCTCTACCTATTATTAAACCCTGGGATTGTTTACTCGATCCGAAGCTCGCGGTGGCTCGCGCTAGGCGCGACGCTCGGCGTGATCGCGGGTGTTCATATCTCTACGTTGTTTCTAGAGTTGAGATTTTAATAAAGAAAATTTTAACGCACACTCTCGCCGGAGTTTACGCCCACCCTCTCCTCGTGCGAGTGCGCTATATAGCGAATTCGGTTGCATTGCACTAGTGCGCGCTAATACTTGTTTACAGTCAACTTTTATATTTAAACAATAAAATTCGTAAGGCTCTGACGTGAATCACACAATTCCAAGGAATAAAGGATATAAGAGCCAAGACAGGATGTTTAGTGTTTAAGGCCAGTATTCGTAATCAGATCTTATATTCAAGACTGTCTCAAGATCATCTTTAGATACTCGGTAGCCAATGAAACGTTCCGTACAGCATCTTTAAATAAATTCAAGACGGTCTTGAGTGTGAGTTTCCAGATCTGCGTATACGACCGTGGGAAATGTGGCCGAACACACATTACCACGTGGACCAGTACGTACCCTAGGAATCACCGATGCCTGCCCACATAAATTTCTCCACATCTCGACACGTTTAGACATTTTGTGGGTGTAGTTTCGAAAAGTTGAAACCCTCGATTTTCCTGTTTACTTACGTACTTTGATGCACTGATTACGAAAATAATACCGAAAATTACCGCAAATTTTATATTCGCGAAAACCATAAAAAATCGTCAAAAATTGACATTTCTTGTGTTTATTCCATTAAATACTAAAAATTTAAAAAAATGTTTTAAATGAAAGTTGTAGATCTTTTTAAAAATACGCATTTTATGCTGCATTCATTTTTGCTGTACGACTGATAGTTTTTTGAGAAAATCTGTACCGTATGGGTTTCCGACTTTTCACGCGAATACATATAAATGCAAAGCAAAATTCATGCTGTTCGTTTCCACATTGTTAGATGCCGCGTGATTCTGCACTTTTGCACCTAAAACTGTCCGTTTTGTGGAAACATTTGTGTAATATAGAAATTAAATGCAACATACTACTTGTACTGTATGTTGCTCACTAATTCTTTCTTATTAGACTTACAAACTTAGTTTCAGTGTTGCCATGTTCTTCTTTAATTTAGCGTTTTCGATCTGTACACGCAAGCTATTTAATTTGTACATTACACAAATGTTTCCACGAAACAGACAGTTTTAAGTGCAAAAGTGCAGAATCTCTTCAGCATCCCCTTAAGAGGATCCCGTATTATAGCCTGTCTGTATTACCGACAGAATTACCATTTTCGTAATACGAACCTTTCGTCGTATTGAATTCATGGAATCAAAAATGCTTGCGTACAATTACAGTATATGCATTGATGATCCCGGGAAACTCCAATTTTATACCAAAAAATGAGTAAAAATTACAAAATTCATATATCGATCACATATAACCTCATTTAGACGAACTGTCAACTCCGTCATACTTGTGCTTCGTATAAAAGTTCTACAACTTGTACTCACATGAAACTGAGTTTCCCTGGATTCGATGACATGTAGAATTACTGTGAAACCCTCTAAATTGGGATTAGACGTTTAAAATAAGAGTTAGTATTAAACTTTCGTGTTTATGTATGGGTGTGATGTATCGTAGTAGTGTGTCCGTGTGCTCATGTATATTACGAAAATGGTAATTCTGTCGGTAATACAGACATGCTACGGGATCCTCTTAAGGGACCGGAATTAAGTTGGCGGTGGAAGTTCATATTTTCGTATAAAACCTAGCTCAAACGATTGCTCCCGAATTGCTCCATTAGAATCCACAATTGCTCCACTTTTAAAATCAATAGTTTTCGAAATATTAATAAAAAACGTAAAATTTTTAATTTTCAATAAAAAACATATTTCTAATAGCTTTGTGCAATTCTAACCAGCATCAAATGATTGCTCCTTCATTGCTCCATTAGAATCCACAATTGCTCCCCTTTTAAAATAAATAGTTTCTGAAATATTAACAAAAAACGTAAAATTTTTAATTTTCAATAAAAAAAACTTTTCTAATAGCTTTGTGCAATTCTATCGAGCATACAACGATTGCTGTTTAATTGCTCCTTATTGCTCCATCATTATTTTAATTATTTATTGCATATTTTT